TATGTGAGATGGTATCTCATTCTATTTTTTTTGTTGTTTCTATAATAATTAGCAATGTAGAGCATGATTTTATGTGCCCATTGGATATCTGTATATCTTTTTAGAGAAAAGTCTATTTAGATCTTCTGCCCATTTATATTGGGATATATATGTATAGTCCATGGAATTCTCTAGGCCAGAATACTAGAGTGGGTAGACTTTCTCTTCTCCAGGGGATCTTCCCAACCCAGGGATCAAACACAGGTCTCTTGCAATGCAGGTGGATTTTTTATCAGGTGAGCCACAAGGGAAGCCCAAGCTGATTTCCTCGGGAAGTCCAAGGAAATCAGTCCTGAATATTAACTGGAAGGACTGATGCTGAAGCTGAAGCTCCAATACTTTGGCCACCTGATGCAAAGAATTGACTGACTGGAAAAGACTCTGATTCTGGGAAAGATTGAAGGCAGGAGGAGAAGGGGACGACAGAGGATGAGATGGTTGGATGGCACCACTGACTCGATGGACATGAGTTTGAGCAAGCTCCAGGAGTTGGTGATGGATAGGGAGGCCTGGCGTGTTGCAGTCCATGGGGTCACAAACTATTGGACATGACAGATAAAAAATGTGGTATATTTATAGAATGGAATAGTAGTCAGCCATAAAAATGAGTAACAGTGAATGAAATAATGGCATTTGAAACAACATGGATGGATCTAGAGACAATCATACTCAATAAAATAAGCCAGGCTGAGAAAGATAAATGTTTTATGACATCACTTATATGTGGGATATGAAAAGAAGTGATGTGGATGAAACTGTATAAAGAATGGAGATAGGCCCTCAGACATAGAAGATAAACTAATGGCTACCTGAGTGGGGAAAAAGAGGGTAGTTTAGGAGTCTGGGATTGACATAAACACATGACTATGTATAAAATAGATAGCCATAAGTACCTATTGAATGGTACAGAAAACGATACTCAATGTTTTGTAATAGCCTTTAAGGGAAAAGAAGATGAAAAAATATAAATGTTTACCTATGACTGAATCAGTTTGCTATACACCTAAAACTAGCACAGCATTGTAAGTAAATTATTCTTCAATAAAAATACCAAAAAAAAGTCTTAAAACTTTAAACATATCTCACCTCTGACATAATATTTATCCATTCCACTGCCTTGTACTTACCCAAGAGAAAGGACAGCAGATTTCTTTGTATGCAAATGTCAATAGAAGCTTTATTTATATTAGTCAGACCCTGGGAACCATCTAAATGTTTCTACACTGAGGATGAATAAGTAAATTGTGACAAGTGAATTCCATGCTGCTATAAAGAGTAATAAATTGTTGGTACACACAAAAATATAATGACTCTCAAAATTATTAAGCATAGTAAAGGATGACAGAGTTAAAAGATCAGACAGTCTAAAATTTAGTTGCAAAAAAATTCTAAAATGAAGATTCATGTATAGTTGCATAAAGCAGATCAAACAAGAAATCTCAGAAATTAACAAAAGATGTCATACAAGGCATATAATGTGGGGAAAAAAAAGAAATTAGATTCTCTCATAACTGCAATTGGCATGTTTTTTCTAACAGAAAACCTCAAGGAACCCTGTCATAAATGTGAGTTCAGGAATCCCCTCACAATTGTGAGTTCAGCAAGATAAAAGGATACAAACTCAACAAGCAAATATCTTGTCAATGCATATATTATATATAAACATATGAATATATTGATATAATATATAACATGCAAGAACCAAAAATATGTGTATATGTGACTTCCCAGGTGGTGCAGTAGTAAAGAATCTGCCTGAAATGCAAGAGACACAGGAAACGTGGGTGTGATCACTGGGTTCGGAAGATCCCCTGGAGGAGGAGATGGCAACCCACTCCAGTATTCTCTACAGGAAAATCCCATGGACAGAGGTGGGCTACAATCCATATGGTCAAAAACTGTAAGATACAACTGAAACAACTGATTATGTACACATGTGTGTGTGTATATATACATATACATATTCCATTTACAATACAAAGGGTAATGAAATGGTAAGAAACTCAGAAAATGTGCAGGATATATATGTTGAAAAGTATGCTGCTTAAAGAAATCAAAGATCTGAACACATTATAAGACATACAGAGCTCATAGGATAAAATATTCCTAGATGGGAAAGAAAATTGGAATAGAAATTGGAATTGGACAGAAGGAAATAAATGAAATGCTGCAATATGCTATTAAGGGGAAAAAAATCAAAAGAAGTTGTAACTAATTGAAGATGGCAACTAACTATGAAATGAGAAAAATGAGCAACTAATGTCTGCCTCAGAAGTGAAGAAAAACAGCAAAACCAACTAAATCGATGAAATAACAGGCCACATTTACCTAATGTGTAATTTAATTCCTTTTAATTTTTTTAAAAAATGATATATTAAAAAAGTATTTTGACATTTCTCTACCATGTCACTCCTTTGAGGAGACCATTGTGGAAATGGACCTTTCCTGAATGTATTAATACAACATTTGAATGAAGAGCCCCATGTGCTAAAAGTGGGAAGTTAACGAAGAGTGAAAAATAGGAGTTAAATAAGTACTAAACTTACTCACTGGTGAATATAAATTGTCCTTGGTGATTATTGAAAGACCTCCAGACATTTTGTTGTGTTCTCCTAGGCATTAGGGCTAATCAAGAAATTGCTTGACATCTCCTCAGGGAGAGTCTCAAAGGTGAGGGAATCCATATATTGTTCTCACAGCCGTGTAAGAAATACAGGAAGGAGTCAACACAGAAACTTCATTAAATATAATGTAAAGGTAAAATATAAGGTAAAAATAATATTTCATGTGGTAAAATATAAGGTAAAATATAGGGTAAAAATAATATTTCATGTGGTACAGTATGCTACCAATATCCACAATATTTCAGTGACATTTGCCAAGTTCCACCTTAATTCTATGACATAGAATCTACATTTAGTTATGGGATGGGGTGGGGTGGGAACTGAAATAAATTACATGTTTTACATCCTACTTGACCAGCTCCTCACTTACCCATCACTATAACCCTGACAGAGACATGAAACCACAGTCCAGAGAATATGTTTATATGAGGAAGAAAATCTCTTTCAGGTAAGTTACCATCACTATTAGAAACAAATAAACATTAAGAAACCCCACAAAACTGTGTATGTGACATTTGAGAACTATTTTCAGGTAAGATAGACTCATTGAATTATTGACTCTTCATGAATCTTTCCCCAAAACTGTGCACACTGTTTTCCGTTACATATGGTCATAAAGAGTTTTAGATAATCCACACTATTGACCCAGATTAACCCTTGGTAGTTGTTGTTCAGTCGCTAAATCCTGTCTGACTCTGCGACCCCATGGACTGCAGCATGCTATGTCTGCCTATCTTTCCCTGTCTCTTGGAGTTGGCTCAAATTCATGTTCATTGAGTTGGTGATGCTATCTAGTGATCTCATCCTCTGCTGCCCTCTTCTCACCATAAATGAAGGCACTGCAGAAACTGTATTTACAGACATGCATGTCCTATACATGGACATACATGTCCTATAATAGTCAGGTATGTCCTGGTATGATTCACCACGTAAACAAATTTAATTCCCACTATGGTCCATTATGCATTTCTTATTCACACACTTATTCATACCTTTCAGGTGTGCTAAATTTGAGTCAGTACCATCTGAAGGAAAAATATCTTTCATAGACTATGTTTTGAGTAGGGGGTTATATGAATGTTAGGAATTTTTGGATTGAAAATTTATTGTATCATTAGTATTTGCATTATATTCTAGACAGCATATTAAAAAGCAGAGACACTACTTTGCCAACAAAGGTCCACCTAGTCAAGACTATGGTTTGTCCAGTAGTCATGTATGGATGTGAGAATTGGACTATAAAGAAACCTGAGAGCCAAAGAATTGATGCTTTTGAACTGTGGTGTTGGAGAAGACCCTTGAGAGTCCCTTGGACTGCAAGGAGATCCAACCAGTCCATCCTAAAGGAAATCACTCCTGAATATTCATTGGAAGGACCGATGTTGAAGCTGAAACACCAATACTTTGGCCACCCGATGCTAAGAATTGCCTCATTTGAAAAGACCCTGATGCGAAAGTTGCCTCATTTGAAAAGACCCTGATGCTGGGAAAGACTGAAGTCTGGAGGAGAAGGGGACAACAGAGGATGAGATGGTTGGATGGCATCACTGACTCAATGGACATGAGTTTGAGTAAACTCCGGGTGTTGGTGATGGACAGGAAAGCCTGGTGTGCTGCAGTCCATGGGGTCGCAAAGAGTCAGACACAACTGAGCAACTGAACTGAACTGAACTATATCCTAAGATTGATGAATTTTTAAAATGCCATTATGTGGTTATATCTTATAAAGAATAAAAATAGAACTTTAATGAATAGTGTAATAATTATCCATAATACCTAAAGTTTTATGATTATTTAACTACTCGGTTTTGCTTTGTTATCTATATTTGCATACCCCTGTCTAGTTTTCTGTGTTTCCTTTTTTTATTTATTATGATTATTATTATTTTGTCTAGTTTTCTATGTTTCTGTACCTATACTATAGTGTTTGTCAACCCTGATACTGTTGTGACTACTGGCTCAATATTGTTACAGGTTGCATATTTGATATGTTAAGATACTGAGCTCTTTAACTGACTTATAAACATTAGAATCCAATAGCATTTCAACTCTCAGTTATGAGAGCCAAAATGTCTCCAGACAGTGGAAAAATATTCTTGGGGGAGTAAAATCACTCTAATTGAGAATAGCTGATCTACCTTCATATTTCCTTCTGTCTCTATTTATGTATATTTTAATGTGTGGCAGGTGGACTTACTTTTAAATATTCTAAACTGGAAATTTAAATTTATCTTACTTACCAGTTCTGCATACTAGCCCATCTAAGAGGATATTTTACACAAAATCTTTTGACTCTGCTGCTGTGTCTACCCAGAACAAGTTTCCTCATAAACCTGGATGGAAACACAGAATGGAACAGTGCTGAGTGAATTCATCCTCATGGGAATCACAGACCGCCCTGAGATGCAGGCTCCACTGTTTGGGCTCTTCCTCATCATCTACATGGTCTCCGTGGTGGGCAACTTGGGCATGGTCATCCTCACTAAGGTGGACTCCAGGCTGCAGACACCCATGTACTTCTTTCTCAGGCACCTGGCTTTCAATGATCTTGGTTATTCAACAACCGTGGGCCCCAAAATGTTAGTAAATTTTGTGGCGGATCAAAATGAAATCTCCTATTACTTTTGTGCTACACAGCTCACTTTCTTTCTTGTGTTCATTATTACTGAGCTTTTCATTCTGGCAGCAATGTCCTATGACCGCTACGTGGCCATCTGTAACCCTCTGCTTTACCCAGTGGTCATGTCGCAAAGGGTATGCCAGGTGCTGGTGGCAATGCCATATCTCTATAGCATATTTGAGTCTCTTCTTATCGCTATCAAGATATTTGACTCATCATTCTGTGGATATAATGTCATCAGACATTTCTACTGTGACAGTCTCCCCTTGTTATCTTTGCTCTGCTCAAATGCAAATGAAATTGGACTGATTATTCTTATCTCAGCAGGTTTTAATTTGATTTTTTCTCTTTTGATAGTTCTTGTGTCTTAACTTCTCATTCTCGCATCCGTTCTCAGGATGCACTCTGCTGAAGGCAGGCACAAGGCTTTTTCTACCTGTGGGTCTCACCTGACAGTAGTCACAGTGTTCTATGGGACTTTAATATTCATGTATTTGCAGCCAGAGTCCAACCATTCATTTGACACAGATAAAATGGCATCAATATTTTACACTCTCATTATCCCTATGCTAAATCCCTTGATTTACAGTTTTAGGAACAAAGATGTAAAACATGCCCTACAAAGGATGTGGAAGAGACTATGCAACTCTTTCTCTTCAGGCTTCTGTACAATATGAATCCTATACTTTAGGTGATGGGCTTCGAGATGTTCTCTGTGTGTCTCTAAAAAGAATAAAAAGTATGGAAATGTTTAACACATATTTAGAAATTGCCTTCTAAGGGCTAGTCATACTTCTATGTGCTATATATACATTAGCACCCTAAAGGGGAAGATATCTGCCTTTCCCGAGGGGAAGAGATGAATTACAAATATAATTAAGTAAATAGCACCACACCTTAGAATGATTTAGGACTCTGTAAGGGCAAGTAAAGAGAGTTGAATGAGGAACAATAGCATATACAAAAGGATTCAAAGAATTATTGTTATTCCCAACTATTAGAAGAAATTTCCTAGTGTCTACATGTGTTTGTGCATGTACATGTGGCTTTATGTAAGCACATACTTCTGTTTTTTATTCATTGTACTTTTCTAAGGCATGCATTAAAATTAAACTTATGTTGATTTCTAGGAGGCTCAGTGTAGTACAGTGATTTAAATTCATCATTCATCTCAATTGATACAGATGCTCCCTTATCACGTGGAAGATATTAGGATCCTGCTCTGCTCTGATCAGTGAAGTTGCTTTTATACATGAGCCCTATAAAGTCCTTAGACTTAGCACATTTAGCAGTTCAGTAATTCACAACATTTTATTTATCTAAATCAGATCGTTTCTCTGTAAATTCAAGTTTAGTCGCTCAGTCATGTCCAACTGTTTGCTACCCCATGGGCTGCAGCACACCAGGCTTCCCTGTCCCTCACCAACTCCCAGAGGTTGCTCAAACTCATGTCCATCAAGCCAGTGATGCCATCCAACAACCTCATGCTCTGATGTACCCTTCTCCTCCTGCCTTCAGTCTTTCCTAGCATGAGGGTCTTTTCCAATGAGTCAGTTCTTTGCATCAGGTGGCCAAAATATTCTCTGAACCAGATACATTTTCTTAATTGTTTTTAACAATATACTATACTTGAAAGTCACTAAGAGAGTGGGCATTAAGTATTTTCACCTCAGAAAAAGGAATGGTAATCATGTAACATGAAAATGTTAACTAGTGCTAAATTGTGGCCATATTGAACTATATGAATGCATCAAATCAACATGTTGTAGACTTTAAATTTACACCATATTAACTGTCAATTATGTCACAACAAACCTAGAGGGAAAAAAGGTAAATTTCTTGAGAGTTTGCCATGGAAGCTTTGAGTTATATTTTATATTTTATTGGAATCTTGATTCCTATCTGCTTTTTGATCAAACAAGATAGTTACATTTCCTTATCTGTCTGAAAAACAAAAATATTGCTTATTTAAAATTTGTGTTCTAATTATTTTTGTACTTTTGCATAAGAGGTCTACTCTACGCTGAACTAGCTTTGTGCCTTTGTTATGGGATAACCTTCTTCAGTCTTGGTTCATAAGAGTGTGTAAAAACTCTTTTACTATATATGTATGCATATATGTGTGCTATATTATATATTGTATTGTAATGTACTTTATTATATTCTATAATTTTTATTTTATTGTTTGATTGCCATGAGTTGATCATCTCTTTGTAGCAAACACAAGACAAAATTCCATGATTTGGTCAATATTTCTAAGAAGAATGTAATAAGATACGTAACAATTTGTTATATATATAATATGTATACAAATATCCTCTTCTTTTTTTTCCATTTATTTTTATTAGTTGGAGGCTAATTACTTTATAATATTGTAGTGGTTTTTGTCATACATTGACATTAACCAGCCATGGATTTATATGTATTCTAAATTGTCACTTTTTTGTTTAATTTTTTATTTTTAACATTTATGAAATTGTATTTACATCATATAGAGACTGCACTGTTCTTTGTTCATTATCCTTAAAAACTCAAAAACATTTTCACTAAATTAAGAAAAAGGCAAGTAGGACTCATCTTTCCCATGATATTAATATTTTAATGGAGGTGGTATTCAATATGGCAAAGAAAAAAAGAAACAGTCCATATTGGAAAGAAGGACTTTAAACTGTGTTTTTTAATACATGATGAGATTGTACAGGTGGAAATTTAAATTATAAAAAAAAGCATTGAATTAAAAGGTGAATTTAGGATGTTTCAAAGAGAGATCAGTGCACACAATAATTTTTATTTCTATATACTACAAATGAAAATTTTGAAATGGAATTGTTAAATGTTGTTATTGTTCAGTCGACAAATCGTGTCTGACTCTTCACGACCCTATGGACCGCAGGACGCCAGGCCATTCTCTCCCTCATCATCTCCTAGAGTTTGCCAACCTCATGTCCATTGAATTGGTGATGCCATCCAACCATCTTATCCTCTGTCACCCTCTTCTCCTTCTGCCTTCAATTTTTCCCAGCATCAGGGTCTTTTCCAACGAGTCGGCTCTTCACATCAGCTGGTCAGAGTTTTGGAGCTTCATCTTCAGCATCAGTCCTTCCAGTGAATATTCAGGGTTGATTTCCTTTAGGATGGACTAGTTTGATCTCCTTGCAGTCCAAGGGATTCTCAAGAGTTTTCTCTAACACCACAGTGCAAAGGCATCAATTCTTAGGCTCTTTATGGTCTAACTCCACATCCATAAATGACTACTGGAAAGCCTTGTTAAATTTTTAAATACCTGTTATAAATTCATCATAATTATGAAATGCTTAAAGATATATATATAAAATATGCAAGCCTGTATGGTAAAAATTATAAAATATTACTGAAAGATATTAATGGAGGCATAAACAAATGAGATCTTACCATATTTATTTACTGATTTATTCAGTATTAGGTAAATATCACAATTTCTCAAATCAAACACAATTAAAATTTAAGCAGAAATTCTTTTTTGATAGGAATTGAGAAGCTGAAACCAAAATACATAAAGGAGCTAAAATCAAACCATACAGAACAAAAGGTCTAGAATAGCTGAACTAACTTTAAAAAGAGGAATAAACTTGCAATATTAACATTAAGACAAACAGTAATGATATCCAGTCTTACTCCAAAGCTACAGTTATTTTTTTTTTAAAGTCTGCTCCTGATATAAAAATTGGCAATATATATCAATGAAAAGATATTGATAGATCAGAAATAGATTCATGTGTATATGAACAATAAATGTTCCATAAGCAAAAGAGAAAAAGAGAAAAAAGACATTTTGTGGAGAAAGCATAGACTTTCAAATTCTCCTTTCATCTTGTGTCTGTTCTGAGACCTTGTAGCCAGTGGGGGCATTCCCTCTGGTTTCTGCTGGCTGAAGATGCTGGTTGTCAAACTTGTATCAGGGCAAGCCAGCTGACTGGGGCCAGCATCATGAAGTGAGAGGCAGCATTCCCTTGTCCAACCATACCAGTTCTCAGGGGAGTTAACCTTAAGAACAAGTTCCAATCCCTAAGAGAATTTTGTCACTTTTATCTTTATTGCTGGAAAATATCCGGTTCTGGAAAACTCCAATCCCAGTATTGCCTACCTGTTGTCACAGCTGGAGGCACACAAAAGACTTTGCTTTCTTAGGCTATCTTTGGAAGGAACTCTGGACCTTGGGGGAGGAAGCTGCACATTTTGCCTTCTTTTAGAATGTCTCTTGCTTCCATAGATAAGCCATGTAATCATTGTTTAGTCACTAAGTGTGCCTACTCTTTACGACACCATAGACTATAGCCTGTCAAGCTCCTTCTGTTAATGGGATTTCCCAGGCAAGAATACTGGAGTGGGTTGCCATTTCTTTCTCTACGAGATCTTCCCAACCCAAGGATTGAACCTGCGCCTTTGCATTAGCAGGTGGGTTCTTTACCATTGAGTCATCAGAGAAACCCATACAAATGCCATACAAAGGCCTATTATTAATACTTTTGAGTTAATAAAAAGGCTTGGGCCTTCTCAGGTGCCTCAGTGGTAAAGAATCCTCCTGCCAATGCAGGAGACCTGGGTTCAATCTCTGGGTCCAGAAGATCCTTTGGAGAAGAAAATGGCAACTCACTCCAATAATCTTGCCTGGAAAATCTCATGGATAGAGGAGTCTGACAGACTACAGTCCATGAGGTTGCAAAGAGTGGGAAATCACTTAGTGACTAAGCAAACGAATGGGTGAATAAACAAAGTATGATTCTTAAATACTCAATGAGTGCAATCACTTATATGCTAAATTGGATATATATTTTTAAAACATGACTTTGACTATTCCAACTTTGTCTTTAGGTGTTACTTTCATATTGCATTTGACCTGCAATGAACTTTCAGTACAAAATTGATTGCTGAGATAAAGCAGTGAAGTTTCAAATAAATCACATACCTCATTGGATGATGTTCAAATTTAGAGTCAACATTCTAAAAAATCCTATCCTAGACACTTAAACCAAAACATGGGTAGTTGGAACATCATCAGATTACCAGATTATTATTAAATTAAAGAAAAAGCAGACATCTCAAATTGATAAATTAGCATCTTTTTATGAATGGAAATGTGCAAGAGACTTGGCTC